ATCTTCAGAGCAATCTCCTTCATCTTTCCCCTCATGTCTGGCGACTGGGCTGGCCAATCCTGAAGCACCTTGACCTTCTTTGCTTTCAGGAACTTTGATGTGGAGGCTAAAGTACGACAAGGAGCGCTATCCTGCTGAAGAACTTGCATGCTGAATGTAACCCCAAACCATGATTTTTCCTTCAACTAACTTGACTGATTTCTGTGAGAATCTTGGGTCCATGTGGGTTCCAATAGGCTTTCTGCAGTATTGGTGATGACTGTGGTGCAGTTTAACAGATGATTCATCAGAATAATCTACCTTCTGCCACTTTTCCAAATGATCAACTAGAAGTCAAGTTATTATTTGTTGCTTTTACAACTGAAATCGATGACAAGACTTATGTCAGGTAGTGTAATACAATCCACTATTCTGCTTTTTTGAACAGCTTGTATTTACATTTTCTGCCATGGCGATTTGTGTTTGGTGCAGACAGCCAATTTGCTGGAAATCTTGTTGCGTTTGTGTACATGTTTTTTTGATTAGTGAAAATGTAGTGACTTTTCTAGTGATTGGTTACGGCCAGAAGGGCATCTGCTGCGTAAAACACATGCTGTATAAATTGGCGGTTCGTTCTGCTGTGGCGACCTTGGATGAATAAAGAGACTAAGCCGAAAAGAAAATGAATGAATGACTGAATGAAAATGTAGCACCCTGTAGTGGATTTGCCATTTTGAAACTTACACCAAAACGCACATAAAGCAATGCAGTTTACGTTTTCGCAAAAAATCTAGGCTAAGGCATGTATTTTCAATGAGTCTCGGCTGACATTTTCAGATGCATGAATGATAAATCACTCAAACGTCTTTAGCAAATACAATAGAAATAAGTACAACTGTCTTTTGCTTCATTTTCACAATGTCTTTTCTCACATCCAAATCCTCCCATCAATCATTCCAGCTGCGCATTCTTGCAACATCTACTTTACCTCCCCACCCACTGCATGCCTTTCACTTTCATTGCTCAGCCCATTTCTTCCAAATCCTCCAGCATATTTGTTTTCTACCTTCAGATTTTTTATTCCTCCGACATTTCATACTTTCCTTTCTATTCTCAACCAATGAGTCACAGCTCATCAGACGGTTTTCAATAATAAACATGCTGAGCGCTGTCTGTTCAGATGTGTTCAGTAAAAACACAGACGGTTTTACGTGTTCGCACAGAATGTTGTTGAGTTTGTGGAGGGATGTGGGACGTTAAACAGCCGCAGGGTTTGCAGGACGGCACAAAGACACACCGAACGTGAGAACACACACGCATACAGAAGTAGATGTACGTCTAAACCAATCCATTAGCTGTTGCCTTTGGCGCTGCTGAAGACAATGACCGCTCTTTTCCTTTGTTAGGGAACAAAAGCTACTCTGTTGCATGTCTGAAACACAGTTTGACTCCTGAACCAATCTACAGACAGGACTGCTGATCATCAGAAATACAAGTCTACAGGGTAAGTTAGTGCAGGTAAAGCAAAGGTGAAAGGTTAAAGTGATCGTTCAGCCAAAAATGAAAGTTTGCTGTTCATTTACTCACCCGCAGATGAGCAGATGACTGCTTTTTAACATTTAAGAAAATTGTTTGCTGAAAATGTGGTCTGTGGTGCATAAAATACATGTCAATGGCTACCAGCACTTTAAAAAATATATATATAACGGCAAAACAAAACCAACAGTGTCAGCTTATGCGCGAGTTTATACCCACATCATGTATCATAATGAAATGTCATGCTGAGTTTGTGGATTACAGGTGATAATGTTGTAAATATTATTAGTATAAACGCTCTGTTGCTTGCACAGACTAATTGTTTTGCTTAATAAGGGCCTACTCACACTATGCCATCCGTACCGTGCCCAGGCCCGTTTCCCGGATCGTTTGAGAAATGTGAGTGCGCTGAATCGGGCTCAAGCACGGTTCACTTGGCCGGCCCTGGCCCGGTTGGAAGAGGTGTGCCTGAGCCCGGTTCACTTGGGCTTTGGCGCGGTACGCTTGTGTGTGAGTGCAAAACGCGCCAAAGCCCGAAACTGAAAGCGAGACGTGACTTGGGACTGTTTAATATGGATTTATTAATCATTCTTACTGTTCAGTGATCGCAAACTGCCGTAGTTTATTAAAGACGCAAACCCCTCACTGCACGACAGCTGCGCGCCTTCATCAGACCTCATCATTCCTGCAGCATGAGAGCTTTATGATTGTTTATGAGCACCAAAAGTGGCGGATCTGTTCGGCGAAATACCTGACTGCGTGTCCCCGCATCCCTAAGGACTGTTTGGCGAAATATTTGACGGCATATCAAACGACTGAAACGATATAACTAGAGAAATCTCCACTGTGCTGCTGAGTGAGAGAGCGCTTCTCACTGAACAGCGCAGCAGCGATGACGTAAGCGTGCGAAGCCCATTTGTGGTGTGAGCGCGGGCCGTCTGGGAAGACGGGAGGGGGGACAAGCGGGCTTTGGCCCGGTTCGAGGCAACTGTACCTAATGTGAGTACGGCCTAAGAGCTCAATGTGTTGTCAGTAGTCTTAGTTTTGCCTGCATGTTATTTTGACACTCAAAAATACAGGTAATCATTGATTTGCATGAAATAAATTTGCAATATATGAGTAATGCTGTTTTAGTTAAAATGATTTTGGTATTATATTAAGAAAATATGAACATTTTTATGCATGAACGATCCCTTCAATTGCATAGAATTTTAGGTGAAGTTTTAGAAACCAATTTCGAAAGGGGCACGTGATATAATTGATCGCAGCTGGTCTTTAATCCATAATCAGCAATAATCCAATCAGATTGATTCAAGCTTACATTAAATAGACCAAATTCGCCCTACTACCTTATCTTCGGTTTGGAAGAATCCCCCTTCCACCTTATCTCCTTCTTTTCCTCCCTTTACCAGGAGGAGCTCTCGAGACCTACCTGGTCTCAGACCCCCTTTTATGCTTATTGACCAGGCCGGAGCCCTAGGCTTAGTTATCTCCAAGCTCTCCCGGGACAGCATGCCAAACCTGCTATTAGCATCAAGCATATCTAAGTGTGAACTCTTGAAATTCTTTATGTGTATTGTTTTTTATGGATTGGTTTTTGGAGCTCCAATAATTGACTTAATTTCTCTCTGGGAAATAAGGGTCTGTCTTTCAGTTCAAGTCCTTCCTATAAGTGTCACCGTGACTTGTGGAACTCAAATGGTGAATGTTTCTTTCAGTAAATATCTTTAAAACATAAACTAATTCAACCAATAACTGCCTCATTCAGACTGCCATTTCCACCTTGGGGTTGCCTGGATAAGGTTCATGAATGATATTCACTGACAGCGAATGAGGTTTCTTGCTGCTGAAAATAAACATACCTCGATATACATTACTAGAGACCACTAAATATAGCTGTTTTTTTTTTTTTTTTGTAAATCTATCAGAGGCCGCTGTGTATGCTATTTGAGATCTCAAATTTCCCTCGCGAGTGTAAATCCACCAGAGGCCGCTGTTGACTGACTGTGTCACGACTGGGTATCACAAAAACAAAGGAAAGATCCAAGTGCAGCACAACACATTTACTGTCAAACAATAAAGATCCAAAAAATGACAAAGGGACAGGCAAAGTACCAAAATCGCCGAAAACGTAAAGTGCAAAAAATTAAACACAAAAGTGAATTAAACAAAAACTAAACAGGAATCCAAAAACATAGTAATGATACTAAACAAAGTAAACAAACAAACCAAACACGATGAAACGGATCACGAATAAAGCAGGACAGAACTAAATGGAACATTGAAAATTTAAAGGCAAATTAAACATAACATAATAGGGCTTATGAAGACAGAACTAATTAGACAATGAGGGAAAGCTGGAAACAAGGAGTGATCACATGACTAGGATACAAAACACAAAAATAAAAATAAAAACTGGTGCCCTTGAAGACTACCAGTAGTCACTGCAGCAGGTGTGACAGACTGACTACTGACTGAATGACTGACTGATTGACTGACCCACTCTCCTCCTTCCCTAAACCCAACCAATAGTGTTTTTAACCCTCTCAAGGCAGGTGTTGCTGATTTGCAACAGTTAAAAGCATAGATTTAGCCTGTTTCTAAAATTTTATTTGAGCCTGAAAGAGTTAAAAGCACAGTTTGACCAGACCACCCACTTCCCTAAACCTAACCGACAAATTTAAAAAGCAGTTAAAAAAAAGAAAAGCCCTCGCCTGATTTTTTACTAAGTTTTACCAAATTCTCACACTGTTATTTACTTGTTTATATCATTTTTTGGCTTCTGTTTTTGTCTTACCCGCTTTCTAGAACTGTTCTTAATCGTACTCGAACCCCATCGTCATGGTCAACTCCTCTCTGTGTTTCAAGTCCACAGGTGTACATGACGAGTTAACTGAACAAACGGATAACAGCAGGAAAGCCGTCCATACGAAGGTAAGTGGTTCACTGGTGGGACATTAAGTGTCAACGCACGCCTCCCACCAGTGCCGATATACAGCCACAATTGCACTGCTACTCATGTGATATTGCTCATATATATATATAATTTTTATTGTGTGTGTTAATTATGTTGTATTGTGCCAAATTGTCCCTCAGGGACAATAAAAGAAACTGCAATCTCCTTGATAAGTCACAGTTTAACCCCATATTAAGTTAATAGTTACTCTTGATTGAGTTCCATTTCAGACACACTGTATATTTTGTTGGTCTTTTCTGTTTTGCCAATGCAACAAAAAAAGAAAAAAACAGAAGCAGTAAATTACCAATTTATTTATTGCAATTTTCTGATTGCCGATGATTCACTATAGAAGGATGAAGTTTTGTATTTAACCCTAACAAAATGTACTTTATGTTTAAATATGTTTGTCTATAAAACCATATACACTCAAAATGACTGAAAAGCCATTTAAATAGCCACACACACACACACAAAACTATAAGGTGACTTAGTGCAGGTAACGCAAAGGTGAAAGGTTAAGTCCTACCTATCAGTGTCATCTTGACTCTTGGGATTAAAGTGCTGAATGTTCCCTCTCCCAGCATTCATTCCATCCAAAACCTGACTGTTAGCCCTCCGAGAATATAGGTTAAGACCTCCGTCCGTCAAGTAGCTGCAGACACACACAAACAAATGCAGATATAAACAACACACACTTACAAGCATAATGCAGAGTCTTATCTGTAAATGGAGCATGAACAGACGGTCTTTTGAAGAGTGCTAACAAAAAGAAAATGTTTTACGCTATGTTGCCCCGCTGTCTGATGATCTATGATGTATATTGTCCAGCTCTTTTGATGGCATGTTGTGTCTGCAGTTCACATTCATAACAAATGAACTTAATTATGTTCAAACAGCGCAAAAGACAAATGTTTGTCAATGTCTCGAGAAATCAGCCCACAGGAAAAACCAGTTGTGCTACCTTTAGAGAAGCATAAGTAGTGCATGTTGACACAAACACACACACACACACACACTCACACACATTAGTTCTAGTATTTTACTGTGTCTATATATTACTATATACTTCCATTTTCAGTTCAGTGCAAGTTAAAAAATTTAATAAACAAAGTGAAATTTACAAACTGATTTCAAGAGAAGCATGTGATTGATCACGGTTGGTCTCTCATTTTCAATCATCCATAAACCAATCAGATTAATCCAAACCTACAATAAATAGCCTATTACTCCTTTCTTCCCTTCTCTTCGTTTTTAAAGAATCCATTAATTATGGCACAATACATACTCATGCAACAGTTTTTTTTTGTGTAGTCTAGATAATAATATGAATTATTAATATTATTAATGTTGTTTTTATTATATATATTTTTACAAATATTTTATTATCATTGTTATTATTATTATTATTTATTTTAAACAATTATAATTGTATTTTTTTACAATTATTATTATTATTATTTTATTTTTTACAATTATTAATAATATTATTATTATTTTAATTATTACAATTAATATTATCATGAGATTTTTTACTACTATTATTATTTTTTTAACAATTATTATTATTATCATATTTAATTTTTTTTTCAATTATTATTAGTATTATTATTATTTTATTTTTAACAATTATTATTTTTATTATTTTATATATTTTTTACAATTATTATTATTATCATCATTATTTTATACAATTACTGATATTTTTTTAGAATTATTAATATTATTATTTTATATATTTTTACAATTATTATTATTATTTACTATTACTATGATTACAATTATTATTATTATTATTATTATTATTATTATATACAATTATTGTTTTTAACAATTATTATTATTATTTTCTATTTTTTGCAATTATTATTATTATTATTATTATTATTCTATAAAATTAATTTTGAACAAAAATTAAAAATGCTAATTTATAAGGAAAATAAATTTATATGAACATTGTGCATTACCTGAAAGTATATATATTCAAAAATATATTACATATTATATTTTATTAATATTAGCTAGTAAATATAAAAAATAAAGTTAAAAACAATAGCCCCAGTGTCACTGTCACTTTCAGTTTAACAATAACAAAACCACATCCAAAAATCTTGACCGGTGGAACTGTCCACTCACCTCAGCAAAGATCAGAAGCAACGTAAAGCAGGTCTGTGAGTGCGCAATGTGTGTCTGGCTTCCCATGAGCCTGTCTGTTGACTGTTCAGGTGTGTGTTTGTGTTTGTTCTAACTGTAAGTGTCTGTTTGTTATTAAGAGCCAAAAAGCAGAGCGACACTGGACAACAAACACAACTGGTCAGCTGATCTTTGCGGGATGACGTGTTTAACCTAAGGCCAGATCGACGGATGGACAGATGGATGGATGGGTTTTACTTGCTTAAGTGGATGTTAGAAACAGGTTCTCAAAGAACAGTCATTTGCCCTCCGGTGACAGCCAATATGAAGCAAACACTAGAAACAACTGCAGGGCGAAAGCAGAGCTGATAACAACATAATGCGATTCCACATAAGCCTGACGATTCACGTTCGAGCTGATTTTTATCTAATGCTCAAAATAACACAATATTGCTGAATAACACTGATAACATTAACCAAAAAGAGAGATATCTGGCAAAACAACACAATAATGCTGATATCTGGTTAGCACTTTTTTCTTGAATTTTATTATATTATAAAATAGGATTAAGCACTACTGAAAATTAGTTACATTTACATCTAGCTTTTCATTCACTTTGTTTTTGACTTTATTCATAAAGGGTCACCACAGCGGCATGAACCACCATTTACATTAAGTGTTTCATAATTTTTTATTTTATCCAGAGAAAACAGTTTCTACTGGTGGTTTGTCAAGCCCACTCACCTGTGTAAGGTACACTCAGAATTGTATAATACTTTGATTTTTAGTTGTATGTAGTTATAATTGTAGCTAAATTGGTAGTAGTTACAACTTATTAATGTTTTAAATAATCTTTAGCTAAGCAAAAATACAACTACAGTCATTTTGTGAGATATTATTCAATATTTGGTAACACTTTAACATAGTACATGTTCATTAATGTACTTATTAACATGAATAAACAATCACAATCACTCAATATACTAAGTCATTTATCTTTTTAAGTACGCTAACAACCATTCTAATAATATAATAATAATAAATAAATAACAATACACGTTACAGAAAGCCATACAAAAAAACAGTGTAAACAATATACTCTTTAAATGATATATAATCAAAACCTATTCATTAAGTATGGTTTTGGCTGGGAATTTGTGCTCCTCTGTTAAATACATGATTTATTATTTCATATTTGTATTTATCTAAATCTGATATAATCTAATAAATGTCATTTGCTTAAAGTAACATGCTAACAAGAAACAAAGTTAAGCACATTGATTTATTTCAGAATATGTATTACTAGATTGAGCAAAATTATGTCATTTTAGCCTGTTACGTCAAATATACTATAGTATAGTATAGTAGTAATAATATTTATGTGTGGTAATATGATAATAAGTGACACATTTCAGCATTTATAAGTTATTTTATAACATTAAAAAGTACTTTTTTGACAGAAAAAATCTAATCTAGTATATTTTTGCATACACTAACATTAGTTTTTATATTTTAAGATAAAAAAAAGCTATGGGCAAACTTTATTTTAAGGTACATATCTGCGTATTAACAAAAGTTTTATAACTTTATATTATATAATAATTATATTTATATAATTTTTATATAATTTTATTTATATATATATATATATATATATGAAAACTCCTAATTAGCTGCTTATTAATATTTAGTAGGGTAGTAGTTGGTAGGTATTGGTAGGATTCCAGTAACGATGTAGAATAAGATCATTTTTTATAAATACTAATATTTTAATGATAGGCACGTAAGCCAGTAGTTAATAGTGTGAATTGATATACTTAAACTAAAGTGTTACCAAACATTTTTAACAGGGACAGCTTTATTGATTTTAAAGGGAGTGGGTTAGTTTTGATTGTTAGCTCTTGTCGTTGCATAAGTAAACAGTATCTGAATGCATCTTAATAGACACACATCCTTCAGTTTGATCTGACATTTCCTGTTGTGAAACAATCCCTCCGTGAGTCAGTTAACAGAGTTTCATCATCAGGGCGGCTGATTAACCTGCCAGTCGGGTGGGACATTTACCTACGCGCACGCACGCGCACACACACACACACACACACACACACACACACACACACACACACACACACACACACACACACACACACACACACACACACACACACACACACACACACACACACAGCATTAATGATTTATGACTTTCAGTTCAGTAATTAAACGTTATGTCTGAATCATCAGGTGTGAATCAGACCAGAAGTCAGGAAATATGAATTTTGCAATCCTGAGGTTGATTGATCATCATTTTCAAAACATCTAAGAAAGCTTAGCAACAATATTATACTTAATATTTACATTTGTATTTTTGTTAAATAATAATTTTATTATTAATACAAAACTTTTTTATTAGTCCGACCTTTTATTATTAATGCACATTTTTTTTTATTGAATACTTATCTTCTCACCAAGGTTGATCCAAAAAAACAACAACAAATATTAAAACTGTAAAATTATGATATATTACTAAAAATAACTGGATTATTACTCAATGTAGTTCAAAATTCAATCCTGTAATACAAGCTGGATTTTTAACATCAATACTTAAGTCTTCAGTGTCATCTGATCCTTCAGAAACATTATAATATGCTGTTTTGATGTTTAATTATAATCACTTATTATTGGTTACAATTAGGGATGTCTAGATCCGATCATGTGATCGGAAATCGGGCCGATTACACAGTTTCAGACTCGATTTGAATAAGACGTTACCTCAAGATCAGGACTCAAATAGATATGTACTGTATATATATATATATATATATATATATATATATATATATATATATATATATATATATATATTAGGGATGTAACGGTATCAGAATTTCACGGTACGGTAATACCTCGGTATGAATGTCACGGTACGTTATTTATTGAATCATTTACAGGAAAAAAAAACTTTTGAAAATACTCCAAAAAAGTGCCAAAAGTGTCAATGACATACAAATTAGCCATCTATCTGTTAGCTTTGAAACAGGAACTTCAATTTTAATAACAAAAAATTATTAAACCATGTAAAAAAATAAAGTTTCAATTTAGTATTGTTGAAAACTCATCACATTTAACATTTAATCACTCACTTAGATAGAGATGGGTTTAAAGGAAAATTATCATATAACTATAATCTGGTAAAAGCTGGTATCTCTGGGTATTTACAATGTCCCCTGCAACAGAAAAAACCCCTCTCATTTGGGACTGAGGTTTCTGGGACAAGAGAGATATGACTTGGCCCAGGTTGACAGCAGTGGGGTAACGTTGTGCATTGTCTTTCCCCCACTTGAGAAGACAAACCATGAGTGAGATAGAGATCTCTTTGCGGTACAAGTCAATGTCTGCATCAATCTGAACAGTGTGCTGTGTTTCTGCAGTCCCCATGACTGTTATTAGTCGTATTCCCCAACTTGCAGGCACATGCACACATAGGGCTCAACCTGTGCAGTGCACATGCCCTTTTTAGT